GCATATTATTTGTGCCAAATGGCCAATTTAAGTGCAAAAATGGGCAATTAAGGGAAAATACAGTATAAGCAAATATAGTATACGAATTCAATAACTTAAAACCAGTGTGAGCTCATTTTGAAAAGAGCTATGCTGCTGACCGGTTCTTGAGCTTTTGTCCATGTAAGGTGAGCAGACACTGAGCCCAGCTGAGGTAGAACTGCAGGTGGTTGGACTTTTCCAATGTTGAGGCCACAAAGTTCAGAAGCTTATCCACATACACATCTGGCAGTGAGCTACATACCACCGTAACTAAAAGATCAAACAATAATATGAAAAGAATGACAAAATTATGTATTTTGAATATGACAAGAACATATTTGACAATTTTAGGAGGGAACATACTTTGGTCATACGGAACTGCTTCCAGAACCTCTCTTATGAGTGGCATTTCATTTAGCCGAAAAGACAGCAAAATGGCTGATGCCCACTCTTTTGTCTTCATCTGCTTCCGTATGCTTGCCGGTGTGACATCCATGTCTAGATCATAGGGGTCAAATACCAGTGAGGCGTCAAGAGAGTAGATCAGCAACCCTTCAGTGGAGGCTGCTGCCCAACTGCGCCCTGAATGGAGAAGTAGGCCAAAACATCATCATTCCGTTCCATATTCAATAAAAATATTAGGAAGTCTGGATAAACATGATTCTGAATAGTTACAGGGTTAGTTCACCCAAAAATGACAATTCTGTCATTAATTACTCACCCTCATGTCGTTTCAAACCCGTAAGACCTTCATTCATCTTCGGAACACAAATTAAGATTTTTTTGATGGAATCTGAGAGCTGTCTGACCCTGCATAGACAGCAATACAACTGAAATGTTCCCAAGTCCAGAAACGTAGCAAGGAGATCTGTAAAATAATCCATGTGACATCAGGGGTTGAACCGTAATTTTACGAAGCTACGAGAATACTTTTTGTGCGCAAAAGGGAAAAAAACATGACTTTATTCAACAATTCGTCTCCTCCAGATGAACAAACTTTACTACTTTTTTTTTTTGAGGTGCCATTACAGGGTTAAATAACTGAGGTTGACATCAATTTGTGTCAACAACTAAAAACATTTATTATTACCCTAGCACCATTTTGGAGAGCATCAGCTGGATGTAAACAATGCTGTTCTGTGTCAGCTGCGTCACGCCGGATCTGTTTCCTATGTTGTTGTGATTTGATCTGAATGGAAACAGCGTATCTGTGTGATACCCTGTTTACTTCCAGCTGATACTCTCCAAAATGGCACCAGGGTGATGCGGAGGAGACGAATTGTTGAATAAAGTCGTTATTTTTTTTTCTTTTGCGCACAAAAAGTATTCTCGTAGCTTCGTAAAATTATGGTTGAACCCCTGATGTCACATGGATTATTTTACAGATCTCCTTGCTACGTTTCTGGACTTGGGAACATTTCAGTTGCGTTGCTGTCTATGCAGACAGCTCTCAGATTCCATCAAAAATATCTTAATTTGGGTTCCGAAGATGAACAAAGGACTTACGGGTTTGAAATGACATGAGGAGGAGTAATTCATGATTTCTGGGTGAACTAACCCTTTAAATATACTAAAATCTCTATCTGTGTGTTGTGCTGTAAAGACAAAAACTCTACCAGTAGGTGAAAAGCAGAGAGAGCTAACACGGATCTCTGGTATAAAGCGTCTGGAGCTCATATCACCTGACAGATGAGGAGAGAACATAAGAGGTGCATGCAAAAGCCAGTATATATTATATAGCCAGTAAGCATTATATATCCAATAATACATTCAGTGCTCTTAAAAACAAAATGCTCATCTACATTGATTGGCAGGTTTACTATCAGTGAGATGTGGACTCACCTCTCTTGACTCCAGGAAGACTGAGCTCCACTCCGTCTCCATCCCCTGTGCCTTCATCCACTAAAGAGAGACTACCAAACTCAGTCATCTTACGCCTGTCGAGGAACTCCTGAGAAAAGAAGAACATGTCAGAATTACTTCATAAGCTACAGTAAAATAATTATGGCATGCTAATTTAATGAATATTGCATGATTACGGTTGATTTACAGGTAAAATAGGAAACTAAACTTCAAAGGGGTCGTGAACTGCATTTCCTGTGTTTCCTTAGGTGCACGTATAATGTTAGTAGGATTTTTACATCAAAAACAGTCAATTTAGAAATGTAAACACCATTTAAATGGGTGTGTCTGCACTAAGACTTCAATGTAAACACCCCCTGATGTGATGGCTAACATCTCTGCACATGAGAAATGTATGTCACACTTTTGAAAACATGTACTATGTTACTCTATTAGAGCTGCCAAGATAAAGTAATCGTGAAAAATGTTGATTACAGCATTATGTTTAGATCTGCTTGTATTGCATCAAAGGTTGCAGCTCTACATGAATGCAATGATCTCACCACAACTCAATTTCTGCACAATTACTAACATCCAGGGCCTAAACATAACTTTTTGCCACAATTTCTGCCAATTACCAAATAATCCACAATCAAATGACCCGCACAAATAATGCTTCACATAGTTAAAAATAAAGAGACACATTCCTAACATTAGGATCATTTGAAAAGTAGTGTTAGTTGTAGTCCAGTGATCATGTGGTATTTCTCATGCCTGTCAATTCACTAAAGCATCAACGGGCAGGTCAAAGAGGTGATGATGAAGTAGTAGGTGTTGATTTGTGATACCTCTGTTTCGTAATAGAAACTCAAAGTAGAAAATTAGTCATTTTGGGAGCTTGGTTTCAATAAAAGCAATTTTTGGACTAATGAGGATGTTTTGAGTTCTGAAACGTACAGTATGCTTCTATATTTTTTAAGCACCATTTATATGTCACAAATAAATTATTAGATTAAGAATATGCTATTAAGAAATCCTCTTACCATTATCAAAATGGACGTTTGTTATAGTTTTTTTATTTAATGTTTGTTTCTGCAGTGAATACAAGTAAGTTTGCTTAATAAGTGTGCGTGTACCTCCATAGCATCCAGAGAGAGATTACAGGAGATCTCAAACTTCTTCATCAGAACATGTTCTTTGATGTTATAAATGCACACAAACTTTGACTGCCCACCTGCAAGGATCGATTCACCATCTGCTGAGTAGCACAAGGAGGTGAAGGACCTACAAATCAGTTAAAGGAAATAAGTAATTAATGCGGGTTTTACATACATCTAGGTTCAGCAGGGTAAATTAGGTTGATTGGGGGTAATGTAAATCCAGCCAGCTGTTATCACAGGATAAAACGATAGGGGTTTATGTACATTAATCCTTATCTCCTTTTCCCACTTACTACACGGCCACTTGCCGCATAAGTAAATAATAAGACAAAATTTTCACCACATAAATAAAAAGGAGGACATAAACTGTTATTTGAGAAGAAAGCATTTTTAAGCATTGATTTAGTATTAAAACTTAAGTAATTTCATTTTACAGTAAACACAGTCGATAACTATATATACACTATATGGTGTAAATATATAGTATATTATTCAGAGTTGCTAATGACGACAGTTGTTATCGGGCAGTAAAATACAAATACTAATATACAGTGGGGCAAAAAAGTATTTAGTCAGCCACCAATTGTGCAAGTTCTCCCACTTAAAAAGATGAGAGAGGCCTGTAATTTTCATCATAGGTATACCTCAACTATGAGAGACTGGCAGACTGTTTAGCAGTGATCTTTTCGGTTTCTTTACGGCCCATCTGCAGGTCATGGCGGCCAGCGATAGAGCCAGTCTGTCCTCCAGTCTGAGGGGTCCAGAATGTGATCTCACCATCCAGAGAGGCAACTGCCAACTCCTGGCCATCAGGACGATACGTAACAGCCAGTCCTGAATAAACACAGGTGCAACACATCTTTAAATAACAAATCCTTTTCTTTCCAAACCACCTGCTCCATTTCTCTCTAAACAGTTTTACATAAACGGTGACTTGGGGAACTTGCCATCAGAGGTGAGTCGCAAGGTCTCTTTGGTCTGCCAGCTGTCCAGCATGTCCCACAGGCGGACTGTTTTGTCCCATGACACACTGGCAAGCACAGACTGGACTGGACTGAAGCACAAGTTGCTGACAGGACCCTCATGACCACTGAGCACCTGCTCCAGCAGTAAAGAGTTACAAAGAACTCAATTACATATCAACCTGCAAGGCTCAACAATGATGTTTGCACTGAAATGATTATTCTTGGCTAAAATAGAAAATTATAGACCCACTGGGCCAAAAGCCAAATCTTAAGCCTAACTATATGTTTGCCAATAACTGTCATTTCTAATATTCAACCATTTACAGCAAACTATACTGTTTATTGAAAAATTGATAACTATATACATAAAACAATGGTATTACACATTGCACTTGTCACATGATCAGAAACAAGCACGCCAATTCGGTGGTATCTGACCTCCAGCAGTCGTCCAGTCTGCATGGACCACAGGAAGATCTCAAAGGAGTCCTGAGAACCTGCACACACCAACTCCCCACTACTGTCCACTGCCAGAGAGGAGAACTGAGCTGGTCGTGGAGACGTCATGGTACGGAAGTTCCGGTACCTGAGAGAACAGAATGAGAACAGAGTAAGAATAAAGAGAAAGCAGAGTGTTCAGCAGTGCAGAATGTGCATAGGAAACATTCTCTTCAAGCTATATTTCTACAAGCGATACCTTTACAGGTCTACAAGTAAAGAGAACTATAAATCAGAGAAATCAGCAAATAATTTTCCGAGCGGTCTACTTTTAAATCACAATCAATGGATTCAACACTCATGTTCTGAACATAGGCTTAACAAAACCAGGCAGACTTTTTTATTAGTGATGAATCAAATTTTTTTTTTTTTGAAACACTAAGACCATAAGTTTTCATTTAGACCAAAACCAACCCTGAAAATATATATATTTTTAATAATTAAATAAATCACATTTATATTTACATATTTATATTACATTTATAACATGCCATAAGAGAAAAAGAATATGAAAATAAAGGCTAAAGTAATAAACATTACAGATGAAACCCAAGCATGAAGTATTGTGCAACAGTGGTACACAGGGAGTACATAGCTGGAAATGGATAACAGTTGATACCTGTGCAGGTCAAATGCTCTAACAGTGCCATCTAGTGAGGCACTGACCACCACAAAGCCACTGGAGGTGAAGGCAACATTGGTGACACCGCTGGAGTGTTCAGTGAACGTCACAAAACAGAGGCCACTGTTGGTATTCCACACTTTAACCTGGAAAGCAACAGTGTAACTGTATCTCTCTTATTTATTCCCTCGACAAAAACCTAGAGGTAGAAGACTTACCTTTCCATCATCCCCTCCAGTAACAAGATACTGACCATCAGGTGAATAAGCCAAAGAGTTCATGTTGTTGAAGTGTCCCTGTTGTTTGAACACATAGGACTCACTCTGCCATTCCCAGACCAGCAGCTGGCCCAGACCTTTAACACAGGACAGAAACTAGGCATTACAGCACAGGACAGCATACTGTTGAGCTCTGATGAACAAACCTGGTTGAGAACAATACCTGAGCAGCCAAAGCCAATCCAGTCACCAGTGGGATTCATAGCAATGGTAGAAATCCTCTGATCTGAAATACTAGATGTGATATTATGCTACATTACAATTCAATAATCAGCATGGAATAAAACAACAGCAATGTAGTTGTAATTGTTGTGACTAAGACTGAATATACATTAAATACACAATACTCTGGTTGTTAGGGCTAGGCAAAAATTTAGCAATCTTCATCTGAACATTTTCTATATAATTTATTAAAACTCCCAAGATCTTTCACTCTTTATAAAACACATCTTTCTATTGAATTGCCCCCTGTGGGCTGCACACAAAAACATACATTGTGAACAGTGCAGTCTGATTCACAAAAAATAGCTCATCCCTGCTGGAGATTTTTGACAAATACAATATTCACTGGAAATATATGACAAACCTGAGTGAGTGAATGAGGTCAAATTCTGGCAGCTCATGCAGGTGGAATGCTCCAGATGCAAAACCTGTCACAAGGATGTGTGTTTTCTTGTGGAAAGCTGCAGCTGTCAACTTGTTGAAATCACCCGCCTTGTTAAAATAGTGTCTGCAATAAAAGACAGCTTTAAAATGTAATTACAGAGACATTAGAGCTTTTGCCATGTTTTATAACCAGAACATTGACCTTGGTGTGAACAAGTCTAAAGAACAGACCCATAGATTGAAGAAATAAGCAGAGTTTCAGAAGGGGGAAAAAAAACTCACTTGCTCCTCTGTGAATAGCGGACATTTTTGATGCCTTCCACTTGTTTTGGTGTATCTGCGCTTCCTTTAATCACATCTCCTCTGGTCTCCCCATCCTCCCCTACAATATCCTCAACATCATCATCTTCGTTGCTTTCCCCTTCTTCTCTCTTTTTTTTCTCCTCCATCTTCTTTCTCTCAGAATATTTTGGGCCCTTCCGTAAGCCCTCGAGCGCAGTGTCACTTTCCCATACACACAAAGTGCCCTCTTGGCTCACGGTGTACATCTGTGAAAACAAATTAAATAGCTTAAAGGTGGCATATGTGAGCTCAGGTAAGCCATTACAGCAATGCACAAACAAACTTTACATTCACCCCGGTGCTACACAAATGCAGCAGACACTTTTTTACAAACGTACATCTAAGCTGTCGTTCTCAAAGAAACAGCCCACTATGATGTCCTTATGACCACCAAGCGAGTAGTAGATGAGATTCGCCCATCTCTCTGCTCCAAAGATCCAGGTGGTCATGTCCTTACTACCCACAGCAAAGCACCTAGTTATCAGCAAAGGAGAATAAGAGTTGAATCGGTCACATAGTGGTAAAATACGGTCCAATAATTTAAATTATTCCCACCTGCACTGTTTGCGATTCATTAAATTTCAAACACCCTACTACAGAAATCATAGAAAAGTCAGGGCTAGAGCATCATGTGGAAAACCAGTAAACAAAAATGAACAGACACTAAATCTCATAAATATTCATTTATGTTAATGCATTAAACAAATATTTATACATGCTCTATGAAGATCCCTAAAACTAACAGTTAAGCAAAAAATGTAAATTAGTTAAAGATATACTTAACCCTCGGGCCATCGAAGATGTAGTTGAGTTTGTTTCTTCATGGGACAGATTTGGAGAAATGTAGCATTACATCACTTACTCACCAATTTATCCTCTGCAGTGAATAGGTGCCATCAGAATGTGAGTTCAAACGAATAATAAAAACATCAAAATAATCCACAAGCAATCAACATGTCTCCAGTCAATAAATCATCACCTAGTGAAGCGAAAAGTTAAGTGTTCTTAAGAAACAAATCCATCAAGACAGTTGTACTTTAAACCATTGTTTCCAATAAGAAGCCCTCTATTCATAATATTACTTTCTCCAGTGAAAAAGGCGTCTCATCTGAGTCAGGAGAGAAATATGCACAGATCAAGCAGTGTTTACAAGCCAAAACAGGTCTAAACAAATATGTGGGTGGATTTTGATATGAGAAGACAACAGTAGATGTACTTTTTCACTAATGAAAGTTATTACAGATTATGGACTTGTATTTTGGCCAGAAGCAACGGTTTGAAGTCATGTGGATAATTGTAATGTTTTAATCAGCTGTTTTGACTCTGATGGCACTCATTCACTGCAAAGGATCGACTGGTGAGCAAGTGATGTAATGCTAAATTTCTCCAAATTCATTCCCATGAAGAAACAAACTCATCTACATCTTGGATGGCCTGAGAGGGAATACATTTTCAGCAAATTTTCATTTTTGGCTGAACTGTTCTTTTAAGAGTGTAAGGAAGTTAATGCACAATAAAAAGTGAATGTTTTTTGCGACAGTATTCATACATTAAAGGATACGGAAAAAATCTGTTACATACTTGGAATCATCTGTCCAGTCGATACACGTTGTCTCATCAAATGGCCCATAATAACTCTTGTCTAATGCAAATGCATTAAACTCTCGGTTTCTTCCAGGTGCATGATACATCAGAGCCACGTTTTCCTTTGTTATCACAAACTTCCTTTAAAAAAAAACCCAAAGGAACACGACCAGGGAAAATGTAGTAAGAGCTGTTCATACATAAAATCATATTACAAAGATAATAAGCGCTGTGTGTAATAGCTGACCTTCCATCAGGGGAGAAGGACACACTGTGAACAGGACTGTGGAAGTGATGATGGTGAAGTACTGCCCGAGTGACCAAACTGACCAGTATGGCTGCCCCATCTGAAACACATTAATCAAACAGTATTACACACAAAACTCTCTCAGCACAAACCTAACCAACAACCTGTAAAACCATATTTTTTTTACCTCAACTTAAACAGTGAGGTTTAAAACTGCACTTGTAAAATGCTTATATTTTCTCATTTATTATATTGTTTGCCTTTACAGATGATATTATTAGCATAACATATAGCATTGAAAGTTAAGTAAATAAAAATATTAGCATCAAATTCAAAATCTCCCTTTTTCTTCAAGTAGCATTTATACTTGAGCAAAGCCGCAGGTTTGTGAAAAAACTGAGGATCCGTGTTATCCAGCATGTTCCAAAGAGCAAAGTCAAGTCATCTTTATTTATATTCTGTATACAATACAGATCGTTTCAAAACAGCAGCTTCATAGTGATAAACAGGAAAACAGCAGAATCAATTATGGAAACAGTCCAGATTCTGCTGTAAAGCAGCTCTAAAAAACACACGAGTGTCATTACTCAGCTCAGTGTTCATTTGATTCAGTTCAATAACTGAAGTGTTGATGTTGCAAAATACGATTCAGACATAAAGCATTTTAATACAGCAAAGTGTGCTATATCTAGCAAGTATATCTAACCTTCTGTACAAAGAATGGCAAGTGTCACAAATTTGCTAACTTGATTGTTGACACAGAAAAGGTGCGGAATCAGTCAAATGAAATTGCACTAGCAAAAATCAGACAAAATGTGCACCTCCAGCAGGCAAAAAGCACAACCAAAAATAATAATAATAATAATAAAAAATAAATAAATAGTATTTAATATATATATATATTCCAATTGGAATAATTATTTCTTTTTTTGTGATTAATATTTTACATCACAACCTTTTCATAATCTTAATATAATCTTGGGTTTAAATAAAATGGAATTATTTTCAAAACGGTCTCCGCGATTTTAATACTGCTTATGACAGGATAAAAACACGCATGGAGAATGGTGGACTTCGCCATACCTTCATCTATAAGAATGGCAAGACTCCCATCTGGAGAGATTCCCAAACAGCTGATGTTCTTTGTGGTGGACGCTGGTAAGGTTTCTGATCTGTTACTGAAGAAATAGGAAATACAACATTTCCTCAACTTTCACCTGATAATGAGACAGCATTTTCAGCTCACAAACGCAGTTAGTCTGGCAATGAAATCAGTGTTATTATGAAAAGCACTGATAACGTTACTCACTTTTTCAGATCAAAGACGGAGATGCGGTTGCCAACAGGACTGATGACAGAATTCCCATCTTTAGAGAAACACAGGTTCCCATGGCGATAAAATGCCCCCAATAAGTTGGAAAACTAGGAGAACACGTTGAATTAAAATATTCCGTCAGACATGCATTCTGTTTAAAGACAAACTATCTACTTTGTTTATTTGTTTGTTTATAAATATTTTTGTCACAATAACCAGCAGGCAAAGTCTCACACAAATGTCTCATAAAAAAGCAATACAATTATTCCCGAGAAGAACATCAAAAGTAAAATTGTGTCTGTAGTACCTTGTATGCAAACTTCATGTTTTCTGAGATGTTATATTATAAATGAGCCATTAAACATCACAAGTCCTGCGTTCAACACGAGAGAAACTCTAAATACATGAACGCACGTGGGTTCAAAAACACTTCCGGGTCAATACCAAACTAAAAGCGCCCGGCATCGGCCCATAAAAGTCTCCCAAAGGTTATTACAAAAGGTGTAGAATAAAAATAATGTGACAATAAGTAGGTATGAACGGTGGAGAGAGAGAAAAGACTTAATTGTTATATTGAATATGGAATATATTTCACTCTTAATATGATTTATCATGTGTAGATGTTAAGCAACTACCTTTCTATTAAAGAAAAAACACGTATACACCTATCTAACGCGATCTAAGTTGTTATGTTTCTCCCTGCTAAACAAACAAACAAATAAATCAAGTTTGTGCATGGAATGAAGAGTTAGTATAACGTGTCCACCAGATGGTGTCTTGGCACGATGCTGAAATCATTTCAACGTAAAACTCAAAAGAGAAATAAAGAAAAAATAAATGATAGACGAATTGATCTCGCTGTCATAAACCATGTCTCTTCTGTCTTTCAATTTGTGAGTACCTCTGATTAAAACGAGTCATTTGAATCCCTCCCGAGCCAGAGAGAAGTGACGTCAGCGTGTGATTAGCATATCTCCCTCTATATATTCATGCTCTCAGACAGACCTGCAGCGTATTTCAACTGAAGACTTCAAGCTCTAATCCGTCTACAAAGGTACGTGTTTTGCAGTTGCTCATATGAAATAATGCTATTGGTATCGTGTTAAGGATTGGCAAAAATGCAAACCGTTATATCACTATTTTTATAGAACGTGGAATCTGTTCTTTTCCAAAGAAATCTGGGGAAAGGCTAACGTTATGCCTTTGCGTTTGAAAACGCGGTGTGTTCCAACATCTTCAGAAGGTTAACGAATACGCAAATGTTGCTTTAAAGTCGATACCTTTAGGCGATCAAGCCGGTTAACCTATTTTCCTTTGTTAAGCCTCTCTGTGCTGCAAATGCATTAATAAGGATGTGACTCGTTATGTCATATGGCACATTGGCTGCCTTGTATCAAAAGCACCGTTGGCTAATGTGTTATAAGGTGTGATTGGTGAAGAGGGCGTTGAAAGAAACGGCAGTTTTGTGTGCTGTGGGTGGTAAAGCAGTACAGGGCGGTGGTTTTCTATAATGCAATCACATTTTGCGAAAGGCAGTCTAAATGATTTGCCTGGCCGTGCACATGAAAGAAATGAAATCAAGTGTGTAGGATTTTTACCTTTAGAAAGAAAGAAAACACAAATGCTATCGCATTTAATCATTCATATTGTAACCTCAACGTGGGAACTGCTACTGTTATGTAAAAAATAATTTTTTGCTGCCTCAGACGCCATTCAGAAAGGGTGCGGTTTTGTTCATTTCTCTGTGTTAGTGTCAGGAACATCAGCGGGAAGTGATGCAAATCTCCACTAAATGAACAATAGTTTTCTAGAGCTTCATTGCCTCCGGTGTTTTAGAGAAGCAACCCTCGCTTTTGGCTTAAATGCTTTTGCAGACAAGAAAGATATGACATTTGTGATCTCTTTTGTTCCTTGAGCAGACAACCAATCATGTCTGACAAACCAAACCTTGAGGAGGTCACCAGCTTTGACAAAAGCAAGCTGAAGAAGACTGAGACTCAGGAGAAAAACCCACTGCCATCTAAAGAAAGTAAGAATTACAGCCACAAAACTGGCTGGTATTACATAACTACAGTAAGCTATGATATCTGTGGCCTTAGATTCTAATTTGTCATTTTCTCCTAGAGTGCTATCAAATGATGTTTAAACCGTCTGAGTGAATTCTACTTTTTCTTCTTTGTCCGCAGCCATTGACCAGGAGAAGCAGGCGGCCCCGTGAAGACACAAGCTTGCCATCATGCACTGTGCACACCCCCTTCCCTGCATTGCCTTTTCATTCACTTCTTTTAGCAGTATAACTTTGTAACCAAAATGTCAAAAAAGAAAATCTAAAGCTGCATCACTGTCAGATGGGATGAGCCGACCCCTCTAGCAACACCTAGATGCATCCGGACCGCCTCCCTTGTCCAGTCCAGTGATGAGAAGAACAGAACGCTTCTGTTTCCAGGAGCATGAGGCATGGATTCATCTGGGGGCCACGGTGGGCTGTTTTGCATTGGTTTCAACTGTTGCCATAGGACAAGGAGGCGTGGCCTAGTGGATAATACCACATTTTTATCCAGTTGAGGCGTGGCTTTTTGTCGACAAGTGACCATCTCACAAAGTTATGGCATTTTATTTCAAATTTTAGAATAAACTGCACAATCTTTGGTTTTTATGTTGGTAATGATTAACTTCTTTTTAGTGCTGCTTCAGTGAAATGTTTTTTTTTTATTTTTTATTAATTGGTAAGAAAGAGGAAGAGAAAAGCAAATTCAATCCAGATGTGAAAACGCTTCTAAGGACCGGGTGTTGTATTTTATTTGATTGTGCCCTTTTTATTGATGTGGTTTCGGGGTTGCTTTGTCGCACCCTTTGTGTCTTGGTTGTCTTGTTCGGTGGTTATCACCTTTCAAAATGTAAATTCAGTGTGATCGCTTTCAGCTGTAGATTTTTTTTTTTCTTGGGTTTTGTAAAAGGAATAAACCTCAGCAACCATGTTATTGCCACAAACCATTTATCAATAATGGAAAATTGAAACCGTTGTAATAAAAAAAACTTATCAGGATTTTCGTGTTTAGTCTTAATTTTGTTTTCATTTGCCCTTATTTTCTTGGGTTTTGTAAAAGGAATAAACCTCAGCAACCATGTTATTGCCACAAACCATTTATCAATAATGGAAAATTGAAACCGTTGTAATAAAAAAAACTTATAAGGATTTTCGTGTTTAGTCTTAATTTTGTTTTCATTTGCCCTTATGCAAGATCTGAAAATAGATGAAGTTGACTGGGAATGCTAACGTGTAAATTTCACCCTTCCTTCACTGGCCATGCAATTAGCTTGTGATCATGATCTATTGTGGTGGGGATTTCTGAAGCTGCCTTCTGCACCATGGATTAGTGTCTCCTCTGAAACCTAACTACATCAGCATGGTGACACCGATTCCGTATATCAATGGGTATAAAAACAAAACTCTGGTTTAAAAAAAAAAAAGTTAGAAGTACATATTAGTGAAACCATTTTAGCTCTATCTGACATTGAAAAATCAGCTTTTCTCATTAGACTTGATAATCCACACCATGACTGTTATGATTATTTTCCAAACTGCAATTAAAGAGGACAGTGGCACACGGTTTCCCCTCAATGTGAAATTAAAATGTTCTTCCTTGATAGAACAAGCAACTCCTCGGCTGATTTTCTCTGCAGTAGAACTGCGTTTGGCACACTAACCACCACGATTTTATCATGTGTCCTTTAAGTGGATTGGTGTTAAAGTCATTTACACTTAATACTGTGATGGGCTAGAAGATTCTGTGTTTGTGTCCATTATATATCAGTGACATCACTAGCAGATAAATTCATAAAGCTTTTCTGCATCTGTAAGTCTTTTTTCTAATTCCAGTCAGTTTTATGTCATGTCTTATACAAGGATTTAAAAAAAGCATTCCCGTCCTGGTTAAAACAAGAAATGCCAACGGCTCATGCTTAAATGAAGTGCAAATTCAGGTATGCCACAGAATCTGTCAATAGCTGTTTGAGCAGAGTATATTAATGGCTAGTTCCTCAGGGCTTCTGTTACATAACTTGTAGTAAATTCTAATGGGCTTTGTTGAAGAAGCTGCTGTTTGCCTTATGATTGTGTGAGAATGTAATTTATAGTGTAACAGTTGGATTCTTGAAGTAAAAATGCCATTCATTTTCTCCATATAGTGGAATTGTTTTTGAACTTAAACTTTTAAAGACAGACCTACTTTGAGTTTGGTCTGAGAGGTTGTTAGTCGATAGTATATGCTTTTGTTGAAGTCATCAGCCTGCATTGTTTCAACTCATTTTTAACGAGTTCAAGGTTTCAAAGGCTAAATTCCATGTTAAAAACTACATTACCCATGATTCTGCAAAGAAATCTCCACCAATCAGAGAATCGAAACAAGCGAATCATGCCAAAAGAACACTTTAGTGCCCATCCACTCCCAAGAAGCACATGTGATAGAACATAATAAAAATTACATAATATAGTCTGGCTAGTGGCTACATCTGAAATCACATACTCTCTGAATAGGTACTTCTTTTTAATGAGTAATTACTTTGCGACCATTATAATGTATGTGAATGTGTGTAGTATGAATGTAATCTGGACATACTACATTCGTCATGCTGTTGTTGACATGTGACCTACCATCATCAGTTGCTTCACGTTACTGTCATTCACAAATCATCTCCCGTGGGCTCACGGGATAGTAAAGTGTTCATCAGATGCACTTCAGAATCTTGCCGGAAGTAGTAAGTCGTCCAGGTACTTCTTGCCTATTGTTTAATGAATGCTGTGATTTCAGACATACTACTCTTTTCACATACTGTTTTTTTTGCCTTCTATGACATTTCAGATACAACCTCAGTCACCTTAAGCTCTTAAACTACTCAATGCATATTTTGCAATAAATGTCAAATACTGTGTGTTGTTTCTATATCAGCAAAATCTGAATATTTAAATCAATAATTTTATTTTTACACATTTTATTTTGATTATGTCATTGGTAATGTTGTTCTTTCCCTCATTAAAGCCATTAAGGTCACAGTATTGTATCTTTGTCTTTTTGTCTGATTTTTAAATACTTAAAAAAAAAACTATATTTGGCCTATAAACCAGTGTTCATGATTTTGATTATTAAATTAAAATAATATAAGAAATACCAGTTTGCAATATCAAACAGCATAAAGGACTGATTTTGTACAACTAAAATAACTGGAAGAGATTAACAACAGAGTATGCACGACGCACATTCAAGTTACAAATGACTGCGCTGCTCTTACATTAAAAATAAGGTGGATAGCAGAAGAATAACAGTGTACAGTATAATGCTGTGAATGTTATGAAATGTGTGATTACATGAGCACTTATATGTATCCATATCATTAATTGAGACCTACAGTGCTTTCATGTGGAATGCAGTATCAAGCCTTCTCTCTCCCAACTGTCTGCCTCAATGTTACTGACATTTGTTGAGGCACAATCTCAAAGCTGCCCCACTGTGTGACCTCAGCAGAAAGCTGCAGCCTGTTTGGCCCATTGATCGTTCCAGTGTGTCCTGACTGAAGCCAATGGGAGGCCATTTAGCTTTTCACAAGCCGTTTGCACATACAATTGTGGTTCAGTGATCTTTCATGTCTCAGTTCTTGGCTCAGACAGACAAATGAAGTTGAGCCTTTGGGATGCTGGATGACTTAATGAAGAGTGCACTGGAGAGGGACCTCCAAAGGGATTATTTTAAACTTTCAGATTTCATATTCTTTTAAATGAGCAGAATTTTAAATTGGCAAAATAACAGTTGCATGGTTCTCATTAAGTAGAATAAGGTAAAAGGTATAAGTGATTAAGTTGGCTCCATTATCTTCAACAGCAATTATGAGACTAACATATCCAATCACTGCTGCGTTCCATCTGTTGATCACAGTTGTTTCCAATATTAGCCGAGGTAAATAGAGCCCTGCTGCTGTTTCCACAGTAACCAGACTTACATGAGAAAGTATCAGTGTTGTAGTCACTTTCAAAGAGTTTAAAACATTTGCTTAGAATCTATATGTTTGGTGTTACTTTGCCTTTTCTTTGTTGGAATTCAAAGTAATTGAATCATCTCAAATATGAAATATAATAGTCTCCCAGCCATATTCTTCTATTTAACTGCCTGATTCATGTGCTGGACTAGTATTGTGTACTATTGTGAGTGTCTTAACAATGGTTACAATTTCAGGATTGCAGAGCGCTATGCTTGTAAATAGCAAGACAACAATATGGTTTTTGGAAGTTGGAGGCATGATTAAATATTCCATATTTGAGCAACATTCCATGTCCATTTGTATTTTTCATCATCTGATCTAGAAACAACACAGCAAATTGCAATGTTCTTTTACAAAAATCATACAATTAATAGACTGATATGACATTTGCACTGCTGTGTTGCATAACCTCACTCAGTATCATTCCTGTGGTTTCTTTTGTTCTGCTTGCTATAGGCTCCCTTTTGAGCAAGAGACAAAACTTAAAATATGTGTAATAACGACCACAACCACAGCCAAGATGCTTTGCTCAATCATTGGCCTCCACAGTTAGTGTACTGGTTTACTACTAATAGACTTGTATGTTTTTATGAGAACGGAGAAAAACTGATAAAGTCCTTGGAGGAAATGACCAGTAACTTTTCTGTTATGTTTATGGACATTTCCTTTAACCCTAAAACACAATACAACACAATGTGTAATTCAAAATACAGCTAAAATCAATACAGAAAATCCATTCATATTAACAAAGTACATTGGGCCATATTTTTACAGACTTTTCTAAGAGTGTATATAGAATAACCTTGTGCTTTAGTGGAAAAAACATTACATAAATACATTGTAATCCACATGCTGTAACTAAACCATTCTTGGGGAAAAAAGGAAAGACAGTCAACAATTTTTGCAAACAATATTCACAAATATTTCCTTACATTATAGTAGTTTTTTGGTATATTGGAGTTCCAAACAATTTACTCCTATTTTCTGCATGCATATTATAGATCTTATTGTGAACAATTTGTGTATAAGTTTTTATTTATTTATTTTGACCTCATAGTGTTTTGATCGGAACATTATAACTGGATCTTCCAATAAGTGAAACATCAGTTTTCTTTCTGGTGACGTATGCAAGACTTCTTCGATCATTTAGTGTTCTTCAGCTCTACCCCTGCAAACTCACACTCATCTGTATACACTACTGAGAGCACATCTCAACATCCAATCAACAACTGGTGCATATAAAACCCGCCTTCTTTTTTGATAATCCATTATACTCAGATTGTACATATACAAGAAAAG